GTGAGATAACTCAGACAAACATGGTATGTACTCACTCTTAAGTGTATACTAGTTGTAAAGCAAAAGATAACCAGGCTACAACCCATAGCTCCAGAGAGGCTAGGTAACAAGGAGGACCCTAATAAGAATGCATTGATCACCCTGGGAAAGAGAAATAGATAAGATCTCCTGGGTAAGGCATCAGCCTGGGAATCCAGCATGGGACTGATCAAGACCCCCCTGAATTTGGGTGTCAGTGAGGAGGCCTAGGGAATCTATTGAGCCTTGGGCAGCAGATCAGTACCCATCCCAAGTATACACACGGTCTCTGGACTCCCATAGAACAATGTGAGGTGCACTCTCACCCTGAACTCTTGGGGAAGGGTCTAGGCCCTGCCCTATATGAAATGACAGACTATGGACACCCCCATGGAGGGCCTCACCCTCTCTGGGGAAATGAGGAGATAATGGAGGGGTTGGGAGGAGGGCTTGGGAGGAGGGGAGGGAAAGGGAGAGGGACCTGGAACTGACTTGTGAAGCAACTTTGTTTCTTATCTAAATTTAAACTGAAAAAGAAATTTAAAAAAAAGAATGACCCCATCTAAACCTCCTAGCAATAGCAGAGAAAGTACCTGAACTGACCTCCTGTAATCAGACTGATGACTACACTAATTGTCATCATAGAACCTTCATTCAGTAACTGATGGAAGCAGATGTAGAGATTCACAGCCAAGCACTGGACCGAGCTCCTGGAGTCCAGCTGAAGAGAGGGAGAAGGGATTATGTGAGGGGGAGTCAAGATCATGACAGGGAAACTCACTGAGACAGCTGACCAGAACTTGTGGGAGCTCTTGGACTCTGGACTGACAACTGGGGAGCCTGTGTTCCTCTGCATGTGGGCAACAGTTGTGTGGCTTGGTCTGTTTGTGAGGGTCCTGGCAGTGGGACTAGGAGCTATCCCTGGTGCATGAACTGGGTTTTTGGAGCCCGTTCCCTGTGGTGGAATGCCTTGCTCAACCTTGATGCAGAGAGGAGTCTTGGTCCTGCCTCCACTTGATGTGCCAGGCTTTGTTGACTCTCCATGGAAAGAGTTATGCTTTCTGAGGAGTGGATGTGGGGTGGGGTGGGAGGATGTGTTGATGGTTGCAATGTCCTTCCAAGCCAGGTATGCTGTTGGCATTAACACACTGTGGATAATCCCTAGCTTAACGGTCGCAAGGAATAAATGGGAAGTGGGTATGATCTCATTTCAGAATCAGCACAAGATTTGCCACACTCTTCCGATGCTAATCCCATCCAAACCTGGATCCCCCCAGGAGAAAAAGAGAGGAGACTTACCATGATGTGACCAGATCCTCTGCTTCTGAATATCACTGAAATAGAGAAAGAACTGACGAGAGATGTCCATCCTGTAATACCCTGATCCCAACCACAGAGCTCAGGGCCAGAGATTAGGTTCACACAGAGAAGGAGGTGCCAGGAATGATGCCTAGGTAGCCACCTGAGATGAGCCCATATTATGAACCTGGGTGTTTGCATTCATTACCCTTCTGTCTAATAATAATGACCCTGGTATTACTTACCGAGTCCAAACACCGGGATAACCATGAGAGCCATGGAAGTTCTTCATGCCAGATCTCTATATCCACAACACTGGGTGACACAGTCTACACAGGGGGACATGCCCATGGGATGGAGCAGAATGGAGTCCAGGATCCCTGTCAAGATGGTGACATCCATTGCAAAGCAAGAACAGGGAGCTGCTGCTTGCTCAAGACCTGGCTGTGCCCTCTCAGTTCTCCAATACATTTCTAGGGATGCCCAGAAGTTCCTCTCTACACTTCCTCTTCTGACTTTCAGCCACAAAGACATGTGAGGTGTGTGACGCTGTCCCCTGGTCTCTGCATATTTGATGCAGGAAACTTGTGGGAGGGGCTATAATGAGATCCAGCTGGTCAGCACGGAATGTAAATATGGACTCCATCATACACTTAGAGCACAGGAAGACACCAAATGTGAGAACATGGAGGATAAGAAAACCAGGGAAGGTGCAGAGGACCAACACTTCTGTTGCAGAGACATTCCTGTAACCATCTAACTATACAGCCAAGTCCATATAGCTGACAATACTGCATTATATACTTAAATTTCCATAAAAGAGTTATTCAGTATTCTTTTTATTTTGTGTGTATGTTGAGCAGAGACCAGAAGAAGGTATATGGAGTTATGAGTGCCTGATGTGGGTACTTGGAACTGAACCCAGGCTTTCTGAATCAGCAGCAAGTGTTCTTCACATGAGACGTATAGCAACACTTCCTCCTTTGTGTCTTCTATGGTGAGGTAAGCCTGCCACACAGTCTTCCACCTTAGCCATTCCTTGAGGCGCAATTCAGTGACATTAAATACATTTACTCTGTGAATGAGAATTCTGGAAAGAAGCTAGATTGTGTCTTAGTTAGGGTTTCTATTGATGCAATGAAACACCATAACCAAAAGCAATTTGGGGAAGAAAGGGTTTACTCGGCTTGCACTTCCTCATTGTAGTCCATCACTAAAGGAATCAAGGAACGACGCCTACTGACTTGTAGGGGAGAACTCACATACCCAAGATACTGTCCAGAGGTGCGTGGGACAGGAGGGAGATATATGGGAGAAATAGAAAGTGAATCTTTCTCTTGGATCCTGACCATGTTTTGGAGACCATAGAGCACTTCCCAGCTTCCCCTGCAAGTGATTTCTATATTTAATAAAGTATCCTAACCCCCTTCTTTTCCCACAGCATTGTTTTCCATATCACTGACTTGTAAGATCATACTTCTTTAGATTTATTATACATCCCAAAGCCCCCTGTCCAGGGAATGGTGCTACCCATAGTGGGCTGAATCCTTCCACATCCATTAACAATCAAGACAATTCCCCACAGACATGCCAACAGGCTGGCCCGATCTGGACATCCTTCAATTAGAACTTGTTTCTTGGATAACTCTAAGCTGACAGAGCCAACTAAGACTGCCCCTGTTGTGGTTTGGATGTGAAATGCTCTGCATAGGCTCAGACATTTGAACAGTCGGTTACCAACTGGTGTGCTTGTTGAAGAGGCTGTAGAACTCTTAAGTTGTAGGTCCTAGCTGGCAGACAGGCCACTAGAGTAGGGCTTCAAGGTTTTATCTTGACTCGTGAACATAGTAATTCTCTTCCCACCACGAAGGACTGATATCCCTTGATATCCGCCCCATTCTGTACTTCTTTCTCTGTCCTCAGAGAATGAGAGTCACCCCTTCATCACCAGGGACACTGATGGACATAAGACAATGGGTGGGTGGGGTCTAAGATCCTACAGAGAATAGCTTCACTCCTCGGCGTTGTCTTGTGATGTCAGGGGCTCCCTAAGGTCTGACCATAAAGGAACTGAGGCAGCTGCAGCATCTGCAGGTGTTCCTGCAGGCCCTCCACTCAGAGCCCATGGTAAGGTTAACCTGAAAGAATCTGTGTCCATACTGAGATTTCAGATGTTGGGTAAAGTTTGTGTTGCCCTCCTGGGGCACAAGAAACACATCACACTCTATCTCTGACTGACATTGCAGGATGGTCTTCTTCTGGATGTCATGGGGCAGCTGATCAGAGCTGAAAGCTGTGCTTTTTGTACTCTCCTGGAGAAGGAGAAAGCCAAGGTAAGTGAAAAGGATGCAGCCTCTCACTACACTTAGCCTCTACACACTCTCCGGAAAGGAGTCCTCGATATGGCCAATATAAGGCTGCCATTCCTCTGCCCTGACACCTAACAGTCTACAAAATGCCCACTCGGCTCCACCCACGCTGCAATCCTTGTTCTTTGCTGAATATAGCAAGCATGTCTACCCTCCAGACCTTTGCATGCTCCGTTCCCACTCCATGGTGTGCTTTCCCCACCCACAGTACACCCCATAGCTCAGTGACTACTCTTGGTAAAGGGCTTTGATGGAGGATTCCTTCTGTATATATGTTTCTCTTACTAGTTGATGAATAAGACACTGTCTGGCCAGCGAGGCAGGAAGATAGACGGGACTAGGACGAGGAGAATTCTGGGAAAGGTAGGCAGAGGGAGCCTGCAAAAGACAGTTGCCATGTAAACCGGCAAAGGCGTAATGGGTCTGGGCATTCTCCGGTAAGCCAAGACCACATGGAAATACATAGGTTAATAGAAATGGGTTAATAATTAAGACAGAGCTAGCCAATAAGAAGCCCAAGCCACCGGCCAACAGTTTACCAATCAATACAGCATCTGTGTGTTTATTTGGGGCCCAAAGGCAGCAGGACCTGATGGGCCAGAAAACCCACACCAGAGTTTTCCTTGCCACTGCATCAATCACTGCATCAATCAATCACTGCATCAATAACATCAATCACCATCCCTCTCTACTTCATAACCTCGCCCAGTTATTCTTCAGTAACACTGACCACCATGTGACAACATACCCTGTGTTCTATTTTTGGTTCCGTTTGTTCTCTCCTTCCCCGGTAGAATAAACATTTATTAAAATCTCTATGTTGAGAATGAGGAGATGGCTCCATTCATATGCATATACATATGCATCATATACATATATGATGAAAGTTAATTAATCACTCAGTCAAGACAAATCCTGCCAATATGATATGACATGAAAAGAGTATGACAGAGGGCAATGACCTACAAGATATCCAGCTTATGAAGACAAGGGCACCCAAAACTATATGTTGAGGTCCAGCTCAATCCAACGCTTCTCAGAAGCCCTGAAGAAAGGAAAAAGGGAACCTAGTTCTTGCCTAGGGATGGACTTGGAAAGACCAGTCTGGGTTGGGGACAGGGCTTCAAAGGAATTAAGGTTTTGGTTCTAGGAAACTTGGCTTTTTCCCCTGAAGAGAAGTCATCAGACATGAAATTATCAGTCTGTAAGGCTTCTGAGATACCCTTGAATTGTAAATCTAATTAATTGATCTTGGGCTCCAGGGAGAAGCAAGCTCCTAGACTGTTATGTTCATGGAAGCTCATCCGAATAATAAAGATGTGTGCAAGAAAAGCTCATTGTGAATCATGCTTTGAAATCCTATCTAATGTCTACTAAAAATATCAAACAAGACGGTGAGGACCAGACTATTCCCCTGTGCCTTTAGAATGCTGGCAGTGTCCTGGGACTTCACCCACCACGTGAGCAGTTACACTACCCCCTAGTCATGACAAACAACAGGTCCCCAGATATCAGCATCTGTGCACCTAATCATGCCCACCCCACCCTCCAGAGCTGAAAAACTATTAACACACTCTGCCTGAGAGGAAGTTCCCAGCTGCAGACATTAATGCCGGTCCAACGGCAGACCCCTGACAGCTTCCTAATGTTGTTATCTTTCGCCCCATGAGCCACCCACCTGACTGATGGCCAGCTAAATTGATGACCAGTAGCTTCCTGACCCAGCTAAACTCAAGCCACAAAGCCCTCCCACTTCCTGTTTCTTCCATAAGCCCAGCAACATGGTTGCTAAACTGCTGTAACACTCCTCTCAACCTTCTCTTTGCTTGCTGTGTCTGTAGTGTGGGTCCTGCAGATTCCCCATTCTCCCCCCCCACCCCCACCACAAACTTCTACCCATCCTTCAAACCTCACCTCACCAGGGAAACCAGTTCTGATGGTTCCGAGCTGCGCGTTCCGTGAGGGTGTAAAGTCAGAGCCTGATCTCCGTCTCAAGCTCACTGGGCCCCCGGGAGTCACTTCTGTGGCCCTGAGAATTGACTGTTGTCTTGTTTTCTATATTCCTGATATTCAGGGATCTTGAAGCCTAACTGGTCCACTGGAGAATTTCCTGCTTGGGAATAGCTGATTCGGATGGAGCAACCACTGTACTATCCATTCCCAAACCTGCCAAACCAGAGCCCACACACACACCTCCACTTGCCTGGCACTCCGTTCCTGGTCTCAGTGTTTCTCTGACCTAATGACCGCAGGGCCAGCTAGAGAACTAAGATGACTCGTACATGCCAGAGATGCTAAAATTATTCAGATGAATCTATCTGAGTCCTGTGTATCCTGCCTTTCCTGTGAAACCACAATAAAGGATAAAGGATACGGACCTGCCTCCTCTCTCTCCCCCTCTCCTCTCCTCTCCTCTCCTCTTCTCTTCTCTCTCTCTCTCTCTCTCTCTCTCTCTCTCTCTCTCTCTCTCTTTCTCTCTCTCTCTCTCTGTCTCTCTCTCTCTCTCATCTCCCCTCTCTCCTCCCCCCCCACTCTCCTCTCCACTCTCCCTTTCTCCTCCCTCCTGCAGCACGGCAGCCAGCCCAACTTCTCCAAGTGGCTCTGCACGGTGTGGCATGGCTCCCCTTCCTAATAACTACCTCTCCTTGTCAATCATCCCCAACCCTTTGGCCTCACCATAGCAGAACACTAATAAAGCTGCACACTCAACACACCTCAGCATCGCCCAACAAATAGTCACGTCGAAAAGGACCAAGGCCTCCTCACCTTTAACCATCACCTCCAGGAGGTCACTTGTGGATGGACAGATTGACAAAACCAAAGCATCTGTAGATCCCTATGGGAGATCTGTAGATCCCTGGGAGACAAAGGGTCTTCTTGGATAAAGTTTGGAAATAAGTAAATAAGTTTTAAGTTTTCTTTTATAGACTGAAGAAATGTGTCATTGGTGTTTGACAAGTGACAAATGACAGGCCACTTTTTTTTCCTAAAGGGACATAGCACTTGGCTGGGCGAAGAGAATAGTTTTGTCCTCGTGGACACCTAGAAAAACAAAAAAACAAACTATCATCACAACAAGGCCATACAGGTAAGCAGTAACATTTCAAACAGCTTAGACTGAAGGGGCATTCTTCTCT